CAGTGGAGGTATTTGCCATCCTGGCCTCCAGTTTTGGTCTCTTGTTGACACTGTTTGGACCCAAATGTTACATAATACTCCTGAGACCAGAGAAGAACACCAAGAAAGCCATAATGGGTCGAGCCATGTAGTCAGATTTTTTTTGTTTGTTTCATTGGACAGGATACATCATGAAAAAAAAGATTTGCAGACAGACATGTAATTGAAAAAACTATTTGTCAAATAAATTGCTTTTAAACATTAGGGCCGGATTGAAAGCAATCCAGAGTGAATGAATTATTTTTCGATTCATTTAAATATCAACCTGAATTAACAAAGTTAAACATTTTCAGTGGTTTCAGGCACTGAACTATTAGGGTTTTGTCAGCACTTCTGTTATATGAACAGCAGATGGCGCCAGCAGCTTTATAATCATCCATCTTTTAAAGTTGACATGTTCTGCAACTGTGTGTAAATAAACACCAAGTTGATGATAGGAAAACCATTGAAAAATGTAAGCAATTAGTTTTCGATAAGGTTAGAATTATTGCCATTATTGTCAGTACAGTAAAACACTCTTTTAAACGTAGGAAACGGGATGTGATTATAAGAGTTCTTTCAATAAAAATCATTTCTTTTGAGGGGAAACAGACCAGTCTCTGAGTTTTGAGTTCAACAATTTACAATGAAACTGAGATATTATTGTGTTTTTTTACTTCATCTAGAGTATTTTTAGAGTATTTAATGGTAACAACAGAAATAGCAGTCAAATAATTTTAGACACACATGTCCTCAAGTTAAGTGGATTTAATGAACTTAACTACAGTCAGTTCATTAAATCCATTTTGCTTGACTTTTTTAATCTTCCCAAAACTGATTTTAAAAGAACAACCTGTTAAACATAAAGAGCAGCTGAAACTCCAACATGAAAATAAATGGAAAACATAGCCCAGAACGTATTCTTGAATTCTGTTTATTCAGGTCATGTCTTTAAACTTTAAATGAAAAACAATAGTTAGTTACATTAGAAATTGTTACAGATCTTTTAGTGTTTATTCTTTATGGGCTGAAATTATTTATTTAGAAAAATGATAAAACGTTACAAACTGTAGACAGATGATATCAGGAGAATGTATTTTGTGTTATTTGTGTATATTGTAATAAAAACTATTTGTGACTTTATTAAAAAAATCAAACAGAAAAGCAAGACACAACTATATACCTTGGCAAAAACTAATTTACACAGACTCATCAGAAAATTGTCCTTTAGAGGATATGAAATGACGGGTCTTAATATGATCAGTGATTGTTTTTTTTACCTGGCCATTAGATGTTTCTTAGTGTTTTTCTCTGGCCTCAGAAGAATAATGAAACACTTTGGGGCAAAGATGCAAAACAATAAACCGTAGCTGGAAGCAAGGATGGCAAAAATCTCCACAGCCACGGCATACTTTCCAGGAGAGCTAACATAAGCAGGAATGAAAGCCACCCACACAGCACAAAAAATCAGCATGCTGAAGGTGATCAGTTTGGCCTCATTGAAGTTGTCTGGGAGTTTCCTGGCAAGGAAGGCCAAAAGGAGACTTGTACAGCCAAGTAGGCCAATGTACCCCAAAACCAAGGCGAAACCCACCACTGAGGCCATGGCACACTTCAGGGTAACACTCAACCCTGGGATGTCTAGGTCAGGCTGAGGCGTTGGAGGGCTGAGTGATAGCCAAATGATACAGATGATAACCTAAACGGATAGAAGAACCGCACCTGTAATTTCAATCATGTTAATGCAAGTGACGACTTCTAGAGGAAAATACCAGACCTGTACGCAGGTGAACAAACAGACACTTCCTCTCTGCTGGCCTGGACCAAACCACTTCATCAATGTTTCAGCGCCAGGCCGAGCTGAGCGGAACGCTGCTAGAACCACAATGGTTTTAACTTGAAGGCAGGAAACAGAGAGCACGAAGCTGATCCCAAATGCCGCCTGCTGGAATCGACAAGACCAGACTGATGGACGGCCGATGAAGACCAGTGAGCAGAGGAAACAGAGCTTCAGCGACATGAGAAGGAGGAAGCTCAGCTCTGAATTGTTGGCACGCACCTAAATAAAAGAATGATATTATGTTTGTATTCAAAGGTGAACATTTGCATTCAGATTATGTCAAATTGGCTGAATTCAATTTAGGCTGATAAAGTATGTTCTTAAGACTGTACACATCAATTGATCACATCTGTTGCTCACCACAGGAGTGTGACGGTAGAGAAGAAACACTACAAACACAGCTGTTGTCAATGTTGCCCCAGAAATAGCTACTGCTGAAAGAGCAATGCCCAACGTTTCATTAAAAGAAAGGAAGTCCAGCTGGCGAGGAATGCATTCTGTTCGTTCAGAATTGGACCAGAACTCAGATGGACATCGATCACATCGAGTTGAGCCTGGAGGACACACATTACAGAGAAGTGGGAAAAGGTAATCAAGATGGTTAGGATCACTGTATACTAAGATCCCACAGCAGAGCTGACTAAAAATGTCCTCACCGGTTACATTGCTAATCTCCCCATCAGCACAAGGGATGCAGTCAAAACAGCAGATGGGTTCCCCCTTTCTGCTGGCCTTCCTCGTACCTGGGGGGCAGCTTTCACTGCAAACTGAAACAGGTACCTAGAACATTTAAGCAACATTATTTTAAAGCTTGTTTCCTTGCTTACATAGACTATTAAAAAGAAAGCACAATGTCTTATTTTTCTTTAACTGCACCTGACTGGATCCTGTGCTCCACTCAGTGGAAGACTCATTGAGGTGGATCTCAAATCCATCCACACGGCCAATCAAAACAAGCTTGAGCTGACCGTCAGGGGTGCTCTGCCAGTTCACAATGTCATACTTTGCTGAAATATCGGCTCCCTGGAAATAAAACTGTTCACCCTGTGGCGTTGTGAAGTTCACTTTACTCAGGTGCTGCATTAGCTGAAAGAATCGGTAGGTTCAAACAGTGAATCAACCATTTGGTTCTGATATTAAATGAAACTATATTTTACCTAAGAAAAACTGCTGACTAATTCCCTGAAAGCATACCTCAGACTGGCAAAGATATGTGATCCAAATCTGAAACACAGGTCACAAAAGAATGAAGTGGAAAGAAATGCATTTACCTCAAAGGGCTTGATTTGCTTTGGAAAGGAGCAAGTGGAGATGTTGTTTCCAGATGGGCTTTCTCTGTCCGGGCAAGAGAGAAGGCTGTGAAGTGCATGGGCTGCAGCATAAACTGCAAGATAGACATTATATGTCACCCGTAGTTGGGACGTGTCGGTGAACAGATTTTGCACTTCTTCCAGCGTCTCTGTGCCTTTGCATGGTGGGAGAGAAGCTTTATGGAGGGACCTGTGTTGTGGTAAGGAGTTATTAGAAGAACGAGCAGCTTCCACAGGAGTGCAGCCAAACTCCTTTTCCCAAAATTCCCTTAAGAACTCATCATCGGGATGAAGAGATGGATTCAGATTCCTGAGATAATTTTCAAAACCAGGCACCGCTGCACTTCGAATGGCCAGACCGAGAACACCTCTCGCCACTTTATGAGAGACAACGTTTTGGAGAAGATCGGTGCTGGTGCTCCAGGCCTCGCTGGCTAGAAACTGTCTGTCAGTCACCTAGTGACAACATTCAATTTCATGTCAAAATGATTCTTCCTCAGTGAAGAATGTCTCCAGTTTATAATCCAACATAATGACTCTTAAAAGAGATTTTTCTTTTGGGTTCTTACATTCGTCTTGGCTAGTTGCTGAAAGAGTTCCATCACATCTGTGTACCAGGTAAAGATCAAAATCACCTTGGCAGTCGAGGCCTTAATTGTGAGCGCTGCTCGTTTGGCATCCCTCACAATGTTCTCCCTTTCAAGAGTTTCTATGAAAGCCAAACACACCCCTGCCCCCTGAATCCCCTCTTGAAATACCTGAGGTGTATAATTGAAAAAAAATAAAGAGGATTAGATATATGCAGACTTTTAAAAAAACAAAAAAAGACACTATGACATTTCAATGCAAATGCAGATAGGGAGAACCACCTTCACAGCCATTTGACCATAATCATTATTTGCAATCACAGCTCCAATCCAAGTCCACTTGTAGCGTATGGCAAGCTTGGTGATAGCATGCGCTTGGTAGATATCACTAGCCATTGTCCTGAAGAAGTTCGGGTATTGCTTTTTGTCACTTAGACAGGGGCAGCTAGCTGTGTAGCTCACCTGCAATGTGAAAAACAAATAAGAAACCATGTCTATGCTTAAATCTTTGCAAGTGACTTTTATGAGTCGAGTATCTACAAAAGAATATATCAATTGAATTAAGAAGTCAAATTCTGCAGAGTATTCTCACCAAAGGAACAGACATTGGTTCAAGGATCCTGGAGAGTATGTTGGCTGCCACAGATGAGGAGCCACCAATAATCAAAGGAACAGGTTGGCCACCTTATAACATGACAAAATGTTTTTAAAAAGACTTGCTATCTAAAACCCATGCTTGATTATGCTGTAAATAAAATATAGTCATGTTAATTTCTATCATAGCAGATAAAAATGTACAACACATACATAACAATTAAAAATTAAAAATACCTTCTTTCTCGTTGATATGCTCTTCCTTTCCATCTGTTGTTTTGCAGGTAGAGGCACCTCCTCCAACTAGTGACAATGCTGCTTGCAGAGCCCAAGCAGGGAGAGCACAGCTATCATGAATACGATAGCCCAGCTTCAAACCTGGTAGCAAGGTTGAACTATGATTGATTTCCTCCAGAGCAAATACCATAGCATAGATGTACTGTAATGGTAGATTTTGCAAACTGAGAACACAGAGGATATGTTGTCATACACGTATCGCTCAAAATAACCAAACTACAGCAAAATGACAATATCCCATATTTAAGAAGAAACATTCTAAGAAAATGGAGGATGAAAATAAGAAGATATAACTGCATTTGAAGACATAAAGCTATTTTTTTAAACAGGTAGATGAGTGGGGCTGACAGAAAACACAATGTTCACATTCTTACCCAGTGCAGGGTCTGTTCTCTGGGAGCTGGATGAAGTCGTGGTTTTTATCTGGAGGAGAGTAACGAAGGCTAAAAAGCCCTCCGATGATAACATCCCCATCCTCAAACAAACCCTTTTCACTGGGACTACCCCACCGAGAACAATTCGCCGCCTGAGCCATCTGTAAGCCCACCCTGAGCCCCACAAGTAGCTGGGGTGGAGCGCTGCACATCCACACAGCGATGAACCAGTATATCCCACACATGGATAAGCCTGATCTGGAAACTTGAACTATGAGAAGCACACCGTTTTAGATATCTCCCACAACTACATACAGACATATGATGTGCAATGAATTCAATATCAGCCAACAGTTTCAGAAATGCTTAAGGTTAAATTGCAAAATAAGACCTGTAAGGCAAAATAAACAGTCACAAACAGTAATGCAGATCAGATAACAAACAAAGTTCCACCAACCACTCATGAAGAGTCTGTGCTGACATACCTCCCTCCACATATGCACCAAACTGATTGTTGTTCTTAGCATTTATAATTGCTGCAAAGCCTTTGGCGCTGCATAGTAACCAAGATGACGCAGCATCAAATCACTTCCCTGAAAGGGAAGGACAGAATAATAATGACCGCCTGGTGTTTGTTACATAAACTAAAGTACATGCCTGAAAAAAAAAAGTTTAGATAGATAGATAGATAGATAGATAGATAGATAGATAGATAGATAGATAGATAGATAGATAGATAGATAGATAGATAGATAGATAGATAGATAGATAGATAGATAGATAGATAGATAGAACCCTCACAAAAGGAAAAAAGGAATGAGTGTTGTAAAAGCAGGTCCAGTTCCACAGGGCCCATAGCCTGTTTATGGTACAAGTGCCTTCACATTTGCTTGCATGAATAATGAAAATCATGATTCAGAAGGAATTTAGACAAACCTGAAACAGGTTGTCTGTCTCATTAAAACTGGAACTGAAAAATATGCAACTTAAGTCAAGAAAAAAGGGGGAATATCACACAGACATTGCTTGTGGACCACAATGGTTCTTCCCATAAGGACTTTCCCATAAGTTCTCCAACTGAAATCACATATTTTTCTTGTTCTTTTAGGCCTCAGCAAAACATATTAATTCAATCATGTCAGTAATAAATGCTTCTGCCTGTATACACAGAAAATGTGTAGTGAATATTGTGGAGGAAAATCTTGATATTTCTGAATGTCTGAAAAGTAAATGACTGCATAATGCGGTCTCTTTTCTCCACTTTGCGCAGCTGGATGAAATCTGAGTGTATTCAAGCTTCGGGCAAAAATGTGTTGGCCTATTGATGCTACTGCTTTCAATTCTCCTCATGCAGCCAAGTACGCAATCAATGCAACCTGCCTCAAAAACCCCTGCTTGTTTAACCATATGTGTACAGTGAGAAGCCATATCACAAGTTGATGGATATCAGTCAGTGCTTAGGTACTTTCAAAACCGGCTTTTTGAGTAAATAAATATTTTTGTCAAAAAGCCAGTCAGTAAGGTGAAAACTGATGAGAAGTGATGTCTATCTTTGTTAAAGAAAGGAAGCAGAGACTAATGAGCCGCAGGCGAGAAAAACTGAAACCTTAATCATGGTCAATTACACAAGCAATTACATCCCATTATACAATTATTGTTTAGGTGTCACCTCGGGGCCAAAACATGTAGCAAGCTTGTTTGTTAAGTTGTTTTTGTTTTTTTGCAGTTCATAGGTAAAAAGCTATTTTTATGAAGTGTTTTATAAAGCTTTTTTGAAGAAATAAAATTCTGTAGCTGCATATCAAATTTTGAACATTATTATTGGTACAATCAATACTATTATTTACACTGGCTCACGTGTCGGTTAATGATGAAAGTATGTTTATATAAAAAGAAAAAAGAAAATCTATGGTTTTGAGGTATCTGAAAAATTCACATCAAATGAATAGTAATCCTGATGTACATGTTTATTCTCTGATCTCCTGACTTTATTCATATAGTTAAAACATGTGGAACTGTAAAACTGATATGGGAATTCTATCTTTAGTGCAGCAGATGTGCACATAGTGATGAAACATAGACCATTATGTCGAAGGTGGCATCTGAGATATTAGTTTCATTAGTACTCTTGACAAATAATCTGGTTCCATGTTACAAAAGAGGTAACACACATGACTTCAAATCAAATATCTAATTATTTTATTGCATCGATAGGAAAATGCTCACCAATCTCCAATGAGCAACAATACAAAGAAAAAGGATGGTGCCACACTAAAATGATCATTTAAAAAACAAATGTGTGGCTTTACTTCCCACTTGTCGTCAGCCTTATTGTGTGCAACTGTATTTTTGTTTAACCAGTCCATTAAATTATACAAAACAAAATAACCAGAAGGAACAAGAGAGCTTTTTTTGTCGTCTGTATCAAAGCAATTATAAAAATAAAAACTTTTGAACCCCAATTCCTTTTTAATTTTGCCATCGTATTTGGAAAATCTACAAGTCATTGAGAGAAACAAGTCAAAGCACAGAAGTTTATGCACGTACACAATACAAACAAGCGTTCGCCTGTGCAAATGCATATGGGTAATACAACACCTATTGTATAAACTGGTGCATAGTCATGCTTGACATGTTCACATGTAACATGCACAAACATACATGTGCAATTCAAACTGATAATCAACTGAAAACCATTTCAGATAAAGAGTCATGTCTGGGGTGTTTGAACACAAGTAAGGAAGTACCACAAAAAAGAGCAGGAAGACTTACATTTTACATTTGAAAAGATGGATCCCATCTTTTGAAAAGAGCTGACTGATTATACTACACATTCAAATGATACAAAGAAAGACGCTCTCTGCTTCTTCTTTTTTTTTTTGCTTAAGTACATAGACTGGACGGTACAACACAGGAACAAAGGTAACAAGAATCTGTACAATCTGTCTAGGAAGCCAGCTGGAGTTACTCAAAGTTCCCAAGTACATAACATATTTAGCAGAATACAGACAATACACAGAATACACAGTCAACTAGACCTTTCACGGCTGAATAGAGGATATTTCATACAAGAATTTCATGCTGTCAGGTCCATCCATGGATTATATAAGATACTTCATTCATAGTGTATTGTACAGACTAGAAACTGTTCCAGACTGATATTCATTCAACAGTTTGAGAGGAAAGTTTCTTGGTTGGTAAACATCTTAACATACAATTGCAATTTCTAATTCAGTTGACCTTTTCTTTGCACATACAGAATTTAATCAAGAGGCTAAAGTCTGAGCAGAAAGTAGACCTCAGGCTCCGATGTTGAGTGCGAACTGTCAAAAGGTGGGAGAGAGTCATCTGTGTGATACCTGTCTCCATAATGGTCCATATTGCCATTACGTAATGACGTGCAAGCTCCTTCAGGAAGTCCTCTGTCCTCGAGTTCACCGAGATAGCCTGCGATGTACGAACCAGTGGAATGTCTGTTAGTTGGTGGATTCTGCGAGGCCGGTTTATTTCTCAGTATCACCCCGCTAATGCTGGCGGGGCAATTTACCACCACCCCTGGCCGAGGTTTGAGAGCTTCTTGCTGCCTCTCACGGGCACGACTGTTGATATGACGGACTCGGCTTTGGCTGCGTGAGGACAGACGACGGGTAAGGGTGGGAGGGGAATCGTCCATGTCTCTGGGAACAACCGGAGATACACTTGTTTCTTGTTGCTGTGATAGTTGGGATTCAGCTTCTCGATTAATCTGACAGGATCCAGGGCTTTCTCTGTCACTATCATCTCCCTCCAGACTGACCAGCCTGCGTAACTGCTCTGTGAGTGGATCACAGGACTGTGAGGGAAAAGCCACTCTTCCCATACTACATCTATTCTTCTCCTTCCTCATGTGGGGAGTGACAAAACTGCGACTAATAATGTGGTATTTGCTCTGAAAGTTGCACGATATGTCTTCAGAAGTCAGGTCTCCCAGGGATTTAGACTTGCATGGTGTGGAACCTGTGGAGTCTGTCATGGCAGACTGAAGGTGACTTAATGGCGCTAAATTTGAAAGCGGCGAAGCTTTGAAAGCAGGTTGGGACTGTTCTGTTTTATTCAGGGGAGCCTTATGTGTATCAAACTGTTTAAGGCCACGAACTTTTGTTGGACTTGAGCCCTGCAGTTGGCTGGTTTTAGAAGGTGAACATGAGGACATTATGCAGTCATAGTCCAGGTGGCTGTACACGGCTTCACATTCAGAAGAGGGGGAATAAAGGCCTCTGTCTCTTGAGGTGTTTACAGATGTGGCAGATTGAGCCGGGAGGCCATTGCAGAAGCTCCCCACTTGCTCCCTCTCCCTTTGACTGTACTCTGGCCTGTCTATAGTAGTCCTGCTTACCATCTGGCTACCTCTGTGGCTCTTCTGCTGTGTGTAAATACCAATGTCTCTGCTGTTGCTAAGGGGCTCAGAGTGTCTCTGTGACATGGGGAAACTATTCTGACGCAAAGTGCCTGGATTTGATGGTCCACGGTTGAGAAATCTATGGCGGAGTGGTGGCTGGGAGTTGTCCTGTTGTTGATGGTTATTAGACTGCTGGTGAGCCAGTTGATTATTTGGGGACTGATCCTTTGAAAAGTCTGCGTGAAACGGATGTGCTGCATAATGGGGTTTAGGAAATAACGAGGCCTGCTTTTGTGGAGTGGACTCATGGTTTTGGTAAATGGCGTAGCGTTTGGTTGGACTTACAAACCCTTCCCAATTCCTGCCACGTCTTGGTGAAGTCAACAGAGTTTCAGATGGATCCTCGTCAACGTTCAATTCCACCTCTGTAACTGCCTCGTGAGTCAAATTATGCAAACACTGGAAGCAGTTGCTGTTTAAAGACGAGGCGGTGTACATCTTACTTGCACCCTGCTCTGTTTCAGGGAAAGCTGCTGCAAGGTCATTTACCTCCTCGTATATCCTCTCCTCTGTCTCTTCCACTTCTTTACTTTCACCCATTCTCCTGTCCACATCCCTCCAGCTAGCACTGGGCTCTTTGCCTAAACTCTGAGCAGGCTTTGGAGGAGTCGAACCTAAGCAACTCGTGCTCTCTGTGAAGTCTGGCTGAATGTGAACTGTCTGTTTACGCAGGTTGTACACAGACACAGGTGAAAGAACCTCCTCATCCAGAATGGTATACACCTCCTCAAGCTCAGTGGTTTGTGGGCTCGAGATGAGGGCTGGAGTAGGTGTGTCCGACTGGGAAATCTTGCGAGGTGAAAAAGTTTCTTGATTTACAGAATTAGCCTTTTGGGTTCCCTTCTGTGGACTTGTCAGTAAATTCTTAGTAGGAGACGGTGTGTGGAAGTGTGGGGGGGACCTTAATTCTTCCAGCACTTTTGCCGAGTTGCACCTGAAGTTTGACATTTGGGAAGGGGCTACATCATAAGATAAGCCTGCGGCAGTGTTTTGGTTTACACTACTTTCAAACTGACCAATCAAAACAGAAATAGAGCCACATGAGTCTTGCTCATTGTCTAAGGACACAGCATCAATAAGCCTTGAGATTGTGCTATCGTGTAAAGAGCCGGAACACTTCTGGACCTGACATGCTGGAGATGCAGAGGAGGAGGAAGAAGAAACCGAAGGTGCCACCGTGAATGTTGTACTGTTTGATGATGTTTCAGGTTTATCTTTTTTCATTGGGCTATTCCATGAGGGTGAGATACAACAGCCTTTCCCTTTTCCTGCCAGGGGGATTTTTGTCTTGTTGAGGTCTGACTGGTAATTGACATAGTCTTCTTCCTTTCTTACGTCATTGCCAGTAACAAAGTTGGATGTCTCCACCGACTGGTCAAACTGTTTATTTCTATTTTTCTTAGATGGGGGAGAGACACTTGACTTAACTGAGACTGATGTTTCAATGAGAAGGTCAACAGAAGAAGACCTTGGCCTGTCGAATGGAGATGCTCCTGTGGACACAGACAGGTAAACACATAGATTAATATAAATGGACTAAACTGTTAGATCTGATGCTGAATTCAAGCCAAAAAATAAAAAAGGACAACAATCAACGGGTCAGCCAATACAAGTAAATACCAATACGAAGACAAATGAATCACAAAGTACAACTGTGAAGGGGAAGCTGGAAAATGGGACTGCTGAGGTTGAAGAAAGTAACAAATCTATGTTTGCACTAAACCAGTTGGGGAAAGAAATGATCAAATGGGTTTAAATGGCACAGCGATAAGTTTCTCAGACCACTTTCAAACAAAGTACACTGGGTGGACGAAATACTGGCATGTTTGAACGATGCAACCTTCAGACAATAGGTTTTTAAATTACCTGCAGGCATATCCTAGTCAGTTCTCTACTATAAAGAAACACAACAAAATGAAGATGGGACAGAAAAAGCATGTTAAGTATCATGGAGAAGAGGATGCGGTGCAAAAGCTCACATGATTATAGCATATGAGTTTGGTTGTAGCAGGAAGTAGAGAGAAGAAGAAAATTATAAAACATATCACACGTTTTAGAACATACAAAAATTGGAGCAAAAAGCATGTCTGAAAATACAGGATCCATTTTTATGTATATAACAACAACAAACAAAACATTTCCAAGAGTCACTGTCTTTATACACACTGCATTGCTATTAGGAAACACAAGAAGAGAAGAAATGTTTGCTTTTAGCGGGATCATTCCAAAACATAGATGGGCATTTTATTGGAAGGAGGAAAATACCCACCAATGATGGCGTCTGCTCCCACATCTTGCTGCTTCTTGTCTGAAGAGCAGAGGGACAGCTGTCCTTGCAGGAGTCTGTCTAATGGCATTGAGATAGGTCTGTGGATAAGAGGTGCTCTTGGCTGGAGAGGCTTCTCCGCCCCTCCATCCTTCCCTGATGCCCCCTCTCCTCTTGACCCTGCACCTGCGCCATTCTTATGGTCAGATATTGAAGCCACCGACTCTGACAACGCCATCTTGGTCTTCTTCCGTCCCTTCGCCGGGGCGCTTGCTGTGCGGCGGAGGAGATGATCACTTATAGAGCGTTTTCGCAGACAAGAGGAACTGGTGTCCACAGATGACTTGGAGGAACGGTTGAAGAAACCTCGGATTCCCCGCAGCTGATGACCCTGATGTCAAGGGGCACACCAGAGAGAAACCGTAAATAAGAGTAGATAAGAAATGCATTACCAACCAGACGGAGTTCCTGACATAATGGACACAACTTTAAGCACATTAAAGTTTGAAGTTAAAGTGTTAACGTTGATGAAAACACCAGACACACGATCTTGATTTACAGCAAAATAAGAAAACTGCTTTTAGAAAGATCGCCTGTAGATGGCAGCCTTACACCTCAGCTACTGTAACCACAGCAGACAAAATGCAAGAAGCTGCTGTTGTGCTGTTTGGTTGTGCATGCTCAGACCGCAACTGTTCAATTGACCACAAAACGAGGACAGACAAAGGAAAATTAAGAGAATACACAGTAAACGTTTGTAAGGAAATCATATGTCTTCATGTCACCCACAAATATGTCACTTCAGATCATAATCTGAGTGTTTGTATCATGCATTGCTCTCATGCAACACAACACAGAACCTAGTCTCAGTATACCTTGTTAGCACCTAAAAAGTGCATTATGGTAAAGCTGGGGTTCAGGACTAGAGGGCTCCACTAGAGGGACAAAGAACGGGAGGAGCAGAGCTTTAATTGACTGTGTCCACATCGATACATTTTCTTTTCTTCCGAAAAATCACCTCATTTGACAAAAAAGGCAAACACGGGGTCCTTAAGCAAACCATTTACTATATCTACAGAGAGCTTACCTTCCCATAGACATCATGCACGGACACGTGCACAAAGATCGAAGCCTCAGTCAGCCCTTCCAAGTAAACATGTCTGTAACCTGTATTTCAGAGATGAGGAGATAAAGAGTGTGAGACAGAGTGAGGGCTAGAGAATGATAACAGACTTTTGATTGTGTAGTGGCTGCCTCAGGTTGGGGGAGGCACATTAGGAGGTCAGACTCAACTCCTGGTGGGTGTAGATAACTGAATTAACCCACCCAGCCACAGGTCTTTTTCTTTACAAATCAGCCTCATCATGGTTCATGGACTTGCCCAACAGTTACAGAACTGCCAAAGCCTTATGGGAAATTCTGTATTCCTGTGCCTGTTTGAGTTAGCTGGCAGTGCTGTTGTGATTCTTGTTGGCAGTGACAAGCAGTGTCATTCATGTCCAAAAGGTTCATTATCTAAAATAATAAAATGAAAAACAAAAACACTTGGATTCTGCACAGACCTGGCATCAGGCTGCTGAAGGCCACAGTCCGTTGACCAATAAAATCTCGCCCAATTGGGTCGTGGTCCCACACAAGGAAACGCACAAGTGCCACCTCAGCCATGTGAAGTGTGAAGGACAGCGTCTCCTCCCATACAGGATTAAAACCTGAGGGAAGTACACAGACAAACAAATGGATTTTTTATGTCATGCTCACTTCTTTGGAATCTAAACTCTTTATATAACTTAAGCACATCCTTTAAAAATAACAGGAGAGCTGGCATTGGTAGAAAGGATTTCAGCGATCGATGATTTCTGTGCTGATCTTATAATACCAACGAGCTCCCAGTGGTCCATAACCTTTCCCTGAGGAAGTATTTTCCCTCCCTGCCGAGTGCCCCTGTCTAGAAAGACATGTTAGGGGTCACACAAGCAAATCCCTTAGTTGTGCTTCCTCTGTGACTCTAATTAATTAACCTGACTTTTGATCCTGGCAGACCACCAAACCCCAGAGTAAAATGCAGCACATATGGCTCTGGCACTGTTTCATCTATGCTCTGTTTTTTGGAGGGAAACAAATAACTAATGGGGTGACGCAACTGTATTTGGTTTGTTTGTTTGCTAATCATAAAAATATATTCTGTACAGGACAGAGGTTTTCAAATTCTGGCAGAAGCCCACTCATGGGGTCTCCAAACAATTTCAAGAGAGGCGTATAAAATGGCAGCATGGCAATAGTTATATTTAGTTATTATTAGAGTAGCGTCAATGCCTTTGAGTGTCAATGCATTTGATGTAGTTGGGGAGATAACAAGTGTAAAACTTATACATACTTTAGAAAAATGTGTAAAGAGTAATGGAAATTCAGTAGGCACGTGATCTGATTTAAATTCTATGAGGTCAAATGAACAACAACAAAAAATCACAGCATTGGCCTTCACACAATACCAAAACATTGCATAAAACATATGTTTGGTGACGGGATTCACTGTGGGAATGCATGCTTTGATCTGTTTGAGTCTAACCATTGTCATCAACTACTCGTGTCTGTTCCTTGCAGCAGTCAACTGGCAAACCGATGATCTCCACTTCAACGAACGGATCAATAATCTAATAAAGGAGAAAGGGGCATTAGAATTAATGACACTTGTTAGGCTATTACTCTGATTAAACTTATACTGAGAGCAAGTTGAACATTTCTGAGCAGTCAAGTATAAAAGTTTTTAAAAATCTGTGCATGAGAAAAAGAGCAACAGATGGACAATATGAGAGCACAGTGCCTCTACCTCTCCACGATCCCCCAGCATGGAGTCTGGTGGCTTGGGCAGCTGCTGTCCACTAATGATCTTGAGAATGAGCTGCTTCTTGGGGTAAGCTGGAAGTGGGTCATCACTGAATGGGTTGAAGGAGCCTAGAGGGAGTAAAAACACAACTGAGCAACATTTTTAATTAATGCCATCAGATAACCTCTGGGATAACATCTATCCCACTGATACAGTTCTTGTCACACAGTAGATGATTTTTTTTTTGCTATCGGCTTGAATGATGAGTAGAACTCCGTGCTGTGTTTGGAGCAAAACTGTATCAGCACTCAAGCGTGTAGCTCCTGAACTGTGAAGCGGACTTTATAGTTAATGTACTATTTGTTCAGCGCTTTAAAAAAGTGGTCTGAGCGCAGTGAAATGGGGAGTGTGCTCGTGTATGGCGGCTGTGTGCTCCTGTGCAAGACACCTGATTGTGGCTCACAGCCCTTTCCTGCGTGTCTCTCTCTCTGCCCCATGTTCAATTGTACCACTTTAAAATAAAGGCCACCAGAGCAAATATTTAATGAATAAAAAATATACAATAACGGCTATGTTTGCAAAGAAAAAAAATACTGTTATTAAAAGACAGGATGGCTGTGACATTTTGTAAGCGTTCTTGTTTCTGCATCTTGTTTCTGCATCCTTTAAATGTGTTGCAGTACTGTTTTCTCTTACATTCGTGTCTTCTCAAAGCAGGAATCAGGATCATACTTCTCAAATTCCAACAAATACATGCATGCCTAAGGTTTATTATTCATAAATACAGAACGTTTCCATTTCTGAAATGTGTTCCACGCCTGGAGCTAAAACTGTCATGTATAAAATCCCAATAAATACGCATTCAGCAGCTATTTCCGTACCTTTGCACATAGGAGGAGGTTTGAGAACGTAGCCAATTCCTCCATTCACCATGAACTTGGCTCTGTTGAGCTGCATCATCCTCCCCTCTGTCTGATAGTTGAGGGCCACTGAAAAAGGTAAGAATGTATTTATCTGTACAATGCAACCTGATCTCCTCTCAGATTAAGCATCACATGATCAATCCCCCTGAGACTTTTGAGAAGTATATCTGTTGATGATTGTCTTTACTAAACTGTAGACATAAATGCACCCTGTGCAACAAAAAAATCATAGGGTAATTTAAATTAATTGTAAAATGTACTCTGGCATAGGCACTTTTGGAAACTCCCGAACAAAATCCATCCATCCACCTATTCTCCAATGCCCTGTCTGTCTTGGAGCCAACGGGAGAGGCAGAGGAAGCAGAAACAAAAGGGGAAAAACTGCTGGCTAACAGAGATTAAACCTTACTAACAGGTAGTTTCACTCATAAAAATTACAAAACGTGAGGGCTCTGGAAAGCAAACCTTCACCAAAACCCTTCTCGCAAACAAATTAAATTCAGAAATAGAGAAAAAGGCTGAACAAAAGCAAATGTTGGTTCCTTTACATTTACATTTATGCATTAAGCGGACATTTTTATCCAAAGCTTTACTTTACTGGAGGCAGCTATTGGGTCGTAAAAGATTGAGATCCAATGCAAAATTTGCACCTACATACTGCAAACCAACCAAAAAGAATTTCCCAAAAAAACTCAATATTGACATCTACTACTATAAGCTACTTTGACACAGCTATAGATAAAACTATCACATATTACAAACAAATGATCTGTTAATATTTCTAAAATTACATATTTCAACTATCTTGGAACTAGTGTCACTCTTTAAATAATTTTCTGAGGACTAATCTTTCACATTACCATAATTTAGACAAGAGAAGCTAAATCATTTGCATATGTCTGGATGCTTAAAATAATGTAATGTGAATGTCACAGATAAAACCTGAGCATGCATCGGGCGTCCAGGGCTGATAAAGTGAAATGGCAGACCTGTGACTAAATAGAGGGCACTTTCTGTTTTAATAACAGCTTAGTGACAGACCAGCATCTTACCCAACTGGCAACCCACATTCCAGTAGAATTGGGGGTTAAAATTAGAAGAGTCGATACGATAGGCTGAGGGATAAATCCGTGACAGCTGCCTCTGGTTAAAAGCCAAGAACTGCTCTGTCCTGTGATTGACTAGAGACTGGGCTCTGGTCTCACTGAATGACAAAATGTCACCTGGTGTACCTGAAGAAAAACACAGCCATGAGCACATGACCTCAAGATGAATAACATTGATACCTGTGAGTTGTGCCTGTTTGTGTCAGAGTTTTCACCTTCATTCAGGCATTCCTGTGAGGCAACAGAGTTGGTGAAAACCACTAGGTTTGACAGATCCCTACTCAGTTTCATCGTCTTCCTCTTCCTTCCACCCCTAATAAATTGGCAAGACAAAAGATTCATTAGGAAGGTTAAACAAAATGTATGTGACTCAAGACATGTCCATATTCAGTGACCCATATACGGAGGAGAACCTCGTTAGGATAAAGAGGATTTTCCATAAGTGGCAGCTTGCAAACCACAGGAAAGAGCATCAAAGGCAAAAAGCCTAATAGGGACCGGAGCCCATGGAGTGCAGTAATACTCACACAGTCATGCACACATATACCTGAATAGTGGTGCACTCCAGTTCTTACAAAAAGCTATTCAATCACATAGCTAATCACTTCCATGCTTTTAGGAATCTGTATGTGACTGTTACTGAGGACATGCAAACATGAATATGCAACAGGGAACAGAGACTTGAAGAGCAAGGAGAACAAAGGCCTTGTATACTTATCCAGGAGCTGAGGAAGGAAAACAATGCTGAGCACCAATGATTATTCACACATTAAGGGGATTAGAACAGAGGTACTCAAACAATGTGTGTGAGAGAGAATTAGGCTGCAATATGTTTAAACTGTAGATAAATATGAATTAAATTTTAGTCTTTTTTTAATAATGATCAAACAAACAAAAAATATAAGAAAGAAACAATGGGGGAAATTTTCACTAGTGATTTTTAACTAAAGACGAGCGTGTGACTCATTCGACTGGAAACTGGAAAGTGCTGAGCATGCATAGTGATGTAGAATTAATAGATTTTAACTACATTAATCACACTGCATTTTGAAAAATATGCTGCAATGTTCTTTTTTTCTAATCTTAAATAAAGTTGTCATAATGAGGCTTTCCGCCATTAAAAATGGTCCAAAGTAATTATAAAAAATAATACATAGCACATACACTATAGATACAGTACAAGAAGCACAAGAAGAGAAATCAGTCATCTAAAATTGTCTGTATACAGATGCTTCACCCATCACAAAAAAGCATTATTTTAACCTTCCTTTGGTCTTCGGTTGTTCAGTTGTGACATAAAATGACATGAACTGTTTGGGTGTCACTGTAACCATCAAACCTCGAAGTTTACAGTCACAGTCAGAGCTTTGCTTTAACTGTTCACCTGTTGAACTGTCCACTAGCCTCCCTTCCAGACTTTTCCTGAACTTCTTCCTCTTTGTCAAGGCTTTGGCACGACAGCCTGGACTTGGAGTGCCTCTGGACAGTGGATGCACATGGAAAAAACACAAAGTTAAAACTTAGGGTGGTATTTTCTAAAGTATACATTTGTCTTCATTCAGATCCTGCAAAATGAGTTAAATATAAAGTGCATGGTGCCTGATGCCGCCTCCACACTCACTGCACAAGAGCTCTTCAGCAGCCAGGGGTTGTTTCAAATGTGTCCTAAGAAAATTATGTGTTGCAGCATACTGGAGTTGCTGTGTGATTCAAAGAAAGAGTTCTTATAGTAGCATCTTGCATATCAGCTTGTGCATGACAGTGGGTGTCATTTCTGTATAGTATATGTAATTATGGAGCAAGAGTGTTAAATGATGTGGGGGGTTTTATTTTAGAGAACCTACATGTCTATTTGAGCTAAGGTGAAGGTGAGGAGAAGATGAAGGTTTTTAATTACAGAGTTTAAGCTGGTAAAGGACAGAGTGTGTATATTTATCAACGCACACACATATGCAAATGTATTTGTATGCATCTGTACACATCAGAGGGTGTATAAAAGATAAAGGAAGTATAGAAAAATTAATAGGAATACAGGATTAAGTAAATACAGGGAGAAGAGAGAATGGTTAAATAAGAGTTTCACTGCATTTCTCACAGGGTCTAACCTATTACCAGCAAGGGATCTAAATCCACCTGAAAAATCTTAAATCTATGTGAGTAATTCACAGGTTTGAGCAACGCATAGATTACTGCACTGATAGTCTTAATGGAAACAGACAATGGTGCTGAAGTATGATCTTGCAAGATCACAGGCTGAAAACGGCACTTCAAAGATTGCTTTACATGAGGATTTCCTCATTTCAGATTCTGGATTTATACGAAACAAGAGCAGTCTGTTTTTTTTTTATCTCAGTGAGTGATGGTAATCCAAGTTGGCTTGTTTTAGCTGTCTGGAGAGAGCAGGCAGTGTCAGATTGTTAAAATCTGTTAAAAAAGAAAATGTTGTATGTCATTAGATGCTTAAGTTTTTTTAAAGTATTGATTCTTATAACTTTCATACGGTCATTTCAAAGTAAAGGTGTATTCCATTACTTGATTTCGCTGAAGCCAATCAAATCTCAATTAACCAGCACACAAACAGCAAAATGAAAAGAAATGGAAACCTCATTTCCCATCCACCTTACCTTCTGTTTGAGTGTGGTGATGAAGGATCTGCTTTGGGATTTCTTCAAAACCCCTTTTGAACTCTAGAAAAAAAGAGAATATATCCAGATGCTTTTTTTTTATAATTGTGTCAGCCCCTGTTGGCTCACATTCATGCTGTGTGAATCTAATTCCAACTACATTAGCCCCCAGTGAGTCATTTAATCCTTAAAACTTAAGAGCTGCAGGGGACGCAAAAGTCAACAAATAACAAATAATATAACATGATATAATAGTAATATAAGAGGCCACTGAGTGAGAAATAAGACATAGTTTGGAGGGGGAAGATAATCATTTTGAAAAATATTAAGGTGAAAGGGATCATCAACAAAGTGGGACTCCAGAGTAGAGAAAGCCCCGATGCACTACACCCACAGCACTAAAATGGCTGTCGGGAAACCAAAGCCTCTAAAAATAACATAAGAGGCATGCAGGGAAATTAAATATTAAGTAACACTGCAGACATTTAGCCTCTCATCACTTTTACTCAGTTTCCACATGCTTTTGATGGAACCTTCTGTATAGAGGTGGAAACACAGCAGCCCCTATAGACAGGCCTGAAGAGGTGCTGTTTGCAGAAGGTTTAATCCGTTCAGTGTTTGACCTGTTAATGCTGCAGTAAACAGTCTTTTACTACTTAAACTACTTTTATCCCCTTCTTTTTCAGGCTTTTTTTCATCATCACTTCCTAAGTAGCCCCCCCTGCCAGTACACAGCTTCACACAGGGCCTCTGGGTTGTACCTGCCGCAGGTTCTTCTGAAGGCCCTGGTGCGTGGCCCGGAGCAGAGCTCGGATGCTGAAGCTGTCAGTGTCCTCTTTGTCTCCGATCCGAGACTCTTTCAAAAGAGAGTCCAGTTTCTTTCTGATGTGAGACTCCACTTGGTGATGGCCATTGCCCTAGGTCAGAGAGGAGGGTGAAAGAGAGGACGCCTATTTTAAGATGGCAGAGAAGATTTTGAAGGCAGGTCAACATTGTGCACAACCAAAGTGCAAAGAATACTTACTTTGAAGAACTGCAAACAACAGCAGCAGGAGTAAAGCATAGCAGATGTAAAACTACTGTCAGTAAAAAACCTGTGAAATTTACAGCCTGTGCATTGAATTCTGAAATCTTGTTTGTTAATGAGACGAGAGCTGAAAATTCTGATTGCATTGTTGTGTTTTGTATGCAGGGACCATGGCTGCTATCCCTTACAATCACGCTTTTATGCTCATGCTGTAAGATTTAAATAAGATGTATCATAATTTGCTCCAAGATTATGAGAGCTCTTTAGTCACTAAACAGTAACTCGATATCATGAGCACACAAATATAAAAGGTTTATTTCATTATTTGTGCCCAAAGAGGCCATCAGATTTGTCTGAAAGTCAGATTTTGGCACAATTGAAGATAGATTTTTTTTTAAAAAGCTGAACTGAGAACAACTGCACTGGTCAACTATCTTACTGACAATGAGGTAAAACCTAACATTAAAATCTGAGGGGAAAAAAACCTAAACAGGACCTAGGTACACCTTCAGGTCTGTAGTGTTGCCATTTTATCTATCTTCCTTCCTATGGCACAGGTTTGGATGTATAAGACTCGGCTAATAATGTATTAAGATCGTAAACAACTACTGGTAGACAGCACCATAAAACCGCTTTTCCCACAGCACATATAAAACCTCTCCACAAAGGTATATTACTCTATTAGAGCCTTGTTCGCGGAGACTGCTGTGAAAACATGCTGGTTTAATGAGCTCGATACAAAGCCCTCCAGAAAACTGCGAGCATTCCTTTCAAAATGGCCGTGATGATCTGAGGTGGCATCTGCAGATTCCCGCCTCCAGCTGATTGTGGAGGAATGATGCCATACTCTGTTACACAACTAAACTGTCTGGAAAACCACACGTGTGTTTTCCTGTTTTAAATTTAGAAAGGAGGACCCCGGAACAGCTATATCATACAATGTGAATGATAATGACTGAACGGTGACCTACAAAGAGTTGAGATGGAGGATTCGTGTTTGACATGCCTCTGTGCACCTTATCCATTGTAGTTGTATTTATGGTTAAAATTTGGATGTGTATCATTAGGCATTTAAATTGTAAAACATTATGCCAATACGTCTCATTCAGCTTCCTCACAAGCACAGACATTTAAAAGCCAGTTACTGAAGTCATTAACTCAAGTACAACAATATCATTAAGATCTCATTAACTGACTTCTGTTCACATAGCTTCTGTATGCAGGGAAAGCATATTTTGTTTGTGAAGCATTAGATGACAGAAAATCTGCCCAGGCAAAAAGACAAAAAGGGGTGTTCGTAGTTTAGTATTCTTCACAGTAGCGCAAAGTGCTTTTATATTACTCTGAATCTAAACTCCAAGGGATAACAGTAACCCCTCTTAAATCTCAGCCTGGTGCAACGTGGTGCAGCAGCTAAAACGGGTATTAAGCAGACTTTAGGTGCTGAAAATGCCATTTGTTTGTTTTTAATCAGGTCTCTTTGTTGGAAACTTACGAACAGCCATGATTTTCTTTTGCGAATCCAGAAATCATTTTTGACTTTCCCAAAGGGCTTGCCCTGTAACTCATAGATGAATATGAAAGGTTTGTCTGGCAACCACAAAATGTACACAGGTAAATAAATAAATACATAAATAAATACTTAAATAAATGAATGAATGAATGAATGAATGAATGAATGAATGAATGAATGAATGAATGAATGAATGAATGAATGAATGAA